TGCTTAAGAAAGTCAGGGCCTCTGGGTGTACTCTGCTGCGTCAGTGGTCCACAGAGGTCCAGGCTCGAGCTTGCAAATAAAAATCCTCTTGAACTTTCATCGGAATTGACTCTTGGTGTTCTCTCGGATTGAACTATCGGCCACTATAGTGACTACCTTGAATGTTGTGTTATCAAGCTCCCTTCCCCCATACATTTACGTCATGCACATACAATCCCTTCTTCTTCTTCTTCTCCACAACGTGATGTTTCTGAGATTCGTCCACAGGTATGGATCCATGGAGCGGTAATTCACTTACTTTCACTCCTGGGTAATATTACATTGTATGAATACACAACAATGTATTCACTCTCCTGTGTATGGATATTTAGGTTGTTTTCATTGCTTTGGAAAATAGAAACAATGTTATTCTGAACATGTTTGTCTCGATCCCCAATGGCAAGGGTTATTATTTTGGAGAGAAGCATAATTCCTCGAAGAGTTGGTGGGACATGGGATGTGCCCATCTTTGACTTCACTTCCAAGAGTTATTTAATCTCCTTTTAGTTTGTCATTTAATAATTTACCAGTCTCTGGGCCCCACTGACTTTCTTCATCAGAGCTGGCTTGCTGCCTAACAACGGCCTTTCTCTTTAGTAGCTTCCGTGGTCTGCAGTCATTGATGAGGTGGTAATAGTCATAATTGTGATACTTGCGGCATTTGATAGAACATATATCTCAGTATTAGCAAGTAATCCAATTTACAGCTCTGCCCAGCATTTTGATTTTAAAAGTATTTCTTTTCGGTCACTGTGAGCCTTTCTTAAGCAGGATCAGAACCACACTGGTATCTAGGTTCTCCCTCTGCATGAGTGCTTGAAAAATTGAACAAATTAAGATCACCGAAAAGAATCAGGGTTTAAATCCAAGGTCTCTTGATTCTTGCTGTAGAATTCTAAAGTACAGGAAGATAAATATATATGTACACATATATACAAGTACATATACATGTACACACACACACACACACACACATACAGAATGTCAATGCATATATACCTACATAAGATGCCATATTATGTAGCATTCAGTATTTGAAATAAATACATTTTACAATCACTTCTGAAAACAGATATGACAAATCAGATTGTTAATTGTGTGAATTTTTTACCTTTGGCTTAAAGAGTCCATTTTCTTCTTCTTCTTCTTCTTCTTCTTCTTCTTCTTCTTCTTCTTCTTCTTCTTCTTCTTCTTCTTCCTTCTTCCTTCTTCCTTCTTCCTTCTTCCTTCTTCCTTCTTCCTTCCTTCTTCCTTCTTCCTTCTTCCTTCTTCCTTCTTCTTCCTTCTTCCTTCTTCTTCCTTCTTCCTTCTTCCTTCTTCCTTCTTCTTCCTTCTTCTTCTTCCTTCTTCTTTCTTCTTCTTCTTCATGGGGTACCATTCAGGGTTAGGTATACAGATGGTCATTGTAAAAAGAGTTCATTTTCAAACTGCCTTTTTCAATATTGGAGGGATAAGACTGAAGAGAAGTAAGACTGTGTTACTTCCCAGGTGTAGAACATTCTCTCTGAGCTCCTGTTGGCATGTTAGTTCTGTCCTCTCTCCTTTTTTGTCCTTCCTGACAAGAGGGCACAGATCGCCTGGTGTGGGCTCCTGGGGAGGTCAAGGCCCTGAGGCTGGCCTTGGAATTTTCTCTGTCTTCTGTGGTCCTGGGCCAGTTTTCTGACAGTGGTCGATTGGGAAAGGGGGACAACATTTCCTGACCCTACCTGGGCTCCTTGCTCCTGTCTTGCCCACCTCCAGGAGTTTGCAGAACTACAGAGAGAGCCTGTTAAAACTCAAGTTAGGACACGCCGCTGCCCTGCTGACAGGGGCTCCGTGTCTCACATGAAAGAAGAACCAGTATCCACAGGGCCAACAAAACTCCTGTGATCACTTTCTGCCCTCTTCTTCCTCTTCTTTCTCCTTCAGGTTGCTGCAGCCACACCAGCTGCCCTTGCCCTTCCCAAACCACTTTAGGGATTTGTGTTGTCTGTCTTACCTGACCACCTCATCTAATAGGGCAGCCTTCCTGACACGTCCCATCTCACTGTCTTGCTTTATTTTTCTCTTAACAGTTTCCACTAATGTCTCATTTATTTGACATATATAGCACTTTTCCTTTTCTCATGCTGTAATTAATATAAGCTCCATGAGGGCAGGGATTGTTCATTGTCTTCTTTGCTGCATTGTTCCCACACCTGGAACAGTTGGTATATAGTAGGTACTCAATAAATATTTACTTAATGAGCAAAGGATTGTCCACTAAAGCATTGGGATAGAATCTGATGATATGATTTTTCTGTGATAGAATCTGATGTTTTTCTACACTAGTAAATCTTGTATCACAAATAGGAAGAACCAGAGTACAGAAGTAAAAGAGGAGAAATTCACATGTTCATATTTATTAGGAACCTGTTGCACATCTATATACTTTTTAGGAATCCTGGGGACTGGTTGTGTTCATCAGAATTTGATTTTGGTTTTAAAAGGGAGAGATTTATTAGCTCAATTAACTTACAAACCCGAGAGAGTTAAATCCAGCTGTTCAAATGTTGTTATCAGAACTCTGTCTGAATCTCTTGCTTTGCTTGCCTCTGTAATGGTTTCTTTATTATTGGGCATTGGCCATTTGGTGGTCAGCAGCTTCACTTTTACATCCAACTAAACTAGTTGGACAAGGTACCAGAGTACCCACCCCCTTCCCAAGAGTTCCTGCCAGAGTCCCAGAGCTGAGGCTCATGGACATATGCTAGATCATATATCTCTTCTAAGATGAGTTATTGGGTCTACAGGTGTGGTGTTCTCACTGACTGGATGGGGCCATGTGAGGACAGAGAGGACACATGAGATTGGAGAGAAGAATCCTTCTACTTCTCTCTGTCCTATGTTCTTTTTTTTATAACCAGTTGCCTCTCAGAATCAGACTATACATGACTGACAAACTGTCTGATACAACATTAAAGGTTAGACCTAAGTAGATAGGATGCCAGCAGGTGGGTGTATAGAAAAGAGAGAGCTGACTAATAGCTTGAAGTTTCCCGGTGTGTAATAAAGAAATGCTCTTGGGTTGGTGCTTGAGCTGGTACTGAGAGGGTAAGAGGCTTGGTTGTGTATCACACCGTTAACAAGGGATAAGCATCTTCTAAAACTCTGCAAACCATTTATAGAAATGATTATACACTTTTCATAACTAGTCACATAACCAGGCGTGCCAAAATCAGTTGATTCTCATGTGTCTTGTGAATGTGGAAAGGATTGTTGAATGGTAATCAGCTCTAAACCCGTGATTTTAGAATTTAATGATTTTTCTTTTCAATTCTTTCTTTGGAAATTGCCATCTGAAAAACTCTAAACCAGTAACAACTAGAATAGGTGATTGTGCCTTCTCTGAAACTGGTGTTAGGGATGTTAGAGCTTAGCGTCTTTTTTCTTACATCTTCGTGCCTGTTGTTGTTGTAATCTTGTCATCTTTTTTTACTTTTATTGTTTTACTAATCTGTGTCCTAGTGCTTGCTACCAGCAAAGCTAAATGGTTTGCTTGTTTAGTTAGGCATAAAACACTGAGAATGTGCCAGTGTGTGTATCTTGACACATGCTGGGATACTGAAGGTTAGAAGGCTAATCTCACTCAGCATATTATGTGGAAGAAAAATATTGCAGTTTATTTGACCTTTCACTTTTGGGAATAAAGTAAGAGTTTTTGTATTTTTACAAATTTGAATGTAAGTATGGAGAGAAAATTAGATCTTCTGAAGCAAAAAGCGATGAGACTGTCTAGATCTTTCCATGTGTTGTCATCAGGATTTTTTTTCTTTCAGGCTCTTCTGGTAAAAAAAAATCTTCCAGTAGCCTTGAAGATAATGATGCTTGAGAGAATTAAGAATTTAAATAAAGATATGACTCAACACAAACAGTCATTCCATGTTAAACTAAGCAAACTTTTCAAACTTATGCAGAAAGCTACATTTATAGTCATATTTTAATAAACTACCTTAAATTAATTAAATTGGTCACATGATTAATTTAAGTATTAATTGGAGGCTTGTAATTTTCATAGTAAAATGGGGATTCTTTGGTTTATCACAATATGTTTTCATAATTCTTCATATTTAGGCTTTTGAAAAAAGGGACAGTCAAAGTGATGTAACCATCTCAGTCATTAACAAGCAGACTATTTAGCTGGTGTGACAGTTATCATCATTATGCTAATAATATGAGATGGGATTCTGTAGGATTAAGCATTAGCTGTTCCAGTCCCCTGAGGAAACAGTACAATTCAGCTCCATTGGGTTGTAATTAGAAAAGAAGTATATTTAAATGCTGCAAAAAACCTTAGGTACCAAAGCATGTAGTATGCCAAGGGCATGTGTGAGAAGCTTTTAAATCTCTAGGTGTGGCCTATTTTATAAATATTTTCATAAGCATTTATATACTTGCCATTTGGCAATATAGCATGGTGCAATCATTTCCATATGCTTTCCCTTCTGAAACAGAATGAAAACTTCTTGGACAGAGCTAGCTGTCGATTCTGTTTGTCTTCCTCCTCTCTGGGTAGTCCAAGCTCAAAATGATAATTTTTCGGTCAGAAGACAGGCACGAGAGCAGATTTAGCTTTCTTTTCCCACATTTTTTTTTCTTTAGTGCTGACAATACTATTGATGATGATAATCATAATCTACCATGGAGTACTTGTTTCTATCAGTCAGCTTTATGCATTAAGTCAGCTGATGCTATCCCTACAACCCGTTCGATAGCTGTTGTTGTTATTGCCGTTTTATGGATGGGAATGTTGAGGCAGAGAGCAGTTAAGTAACTTGTTTAAGGTCATGCAAATAGTAAGTGGGGTGTCTGGGATGCAAACCAAGTGGTCTGGCTATGCCCAGGTGTCTCTTTACTAAGCCTCCTGCTTGAGAGCTTATCCCGAATGAGATTTGTGATCCCTTTGGTTACTTTTTTTCTTTTATTTCCCCCCATCTTGCTAGGTCAAGTACAAAAGAGATTTTGAAGAAAGCAAAGGGAGGGGCTTCAGCATCGTTACCGATACTCCTGAGCTGCAGAGACTGAAGAGGACTCAGGAACAAATCAGCAACGTACGTGTCCAGTTTATCAGTGGCATGACAGCCTTGATGTGTGTTTCTGGATGAGAAAGTGAGGCGGGGTGACTTGGAAGTGTGTGTGTCGCTGTGGAATGCAAGTGGTGCTCAGTGCACTCATAGAATGTGCCATCTTCATCTGGTAAATCCCTCCCCTTGGTTTCATCACAGTTATCTAGAGCCTAACGCTTAGTTATTTTATTATAGATCTCCTTATTTCATTTTGAATGGTTCTCAGCTTTTGAATTTTTTCAAAAATAGGACTTTTATGATTACGTGTAAAAATTTGACAGTTAATTTTTTTGTTGTGGATAGTAAGATTTCATAGTTTAACTCATTATTTATTGAAATCATGCATTACATCTAAGTTTTGAAATAAACATTTATATATGTACTTGCTTTGGGCTTGAAAACTACATCTTGTTCAGTATATATTTTCCTTGAAAGAGAAAGTGGTGGTGACTGGTGGCAGTTCAAAACATATTAGGAACTGGAAAGTGTTAATTCAGTACTTATTAAAGGTAGATAAACAACTCTTCTTAATTTTTGTAATTTATACCTGTGATTATATTTCTTCCAAAGTATTATATGAAGTGTGTTAAGATGTGTTTTTTCCACAAAAAATTTAGTTCAATGTTGGGTGTCAAAGAAGAAATAGAGTGAAAATCAGCAAGTGTGTAGATATTAAGAAAGTATGAACAAACATGTAAAATTCAAATCAATTTTCATGGGAACTGTGTTTTGTGTGTCACTTATGCAGTCAGTAAAATTTATATATCTAGATGCTATAAGTGATGTAGCTTTAATTTCCAGGAAATGTTTATTCATAGATGTTTTCAAACTCACTGATATTTGGCAATTATCATGAGATTTATGTATACATGTGTGTATGTATATGTATTTATATGTTTATTACAAATTGTGTGTGTATGTGTGTATATACATATGCATATACAAATATATACATACAGACACATGTACATACATACACATATATACACATACAATTTGCAGCTAGAATTATTGTATATAATTTGAGAAAAAAATATCATTTTCCAAAAGTTCAAAAATGGAGTTATTTGATGTTTGAAAAATTTATTTAGGAGGTAGAGGGAAACTGAGAGCACAGTTTTCTTTTTTGCCATAATCCCTAAGATTTACACATTGTTTGTTGTTTAAAATGGACATTTTATATTAGTAAAAAATTTTTTCTTTGATGAGAGTTCAATTTTAAGGATTTGTGACATTTGTCCCTTAGTTTTTCTACATTCCAACACTCTGCCAGTCATTAATACTGAAGACCACTCCCCTTGTTTTTCTTCCTCTTTATACTTTCCTTACATCAAAACCCACTTTTGCTTTTAGCAATGCAAATCACAGATAAATTCCACTGACAGTTACGTTCAGTAACATTTCTTTCCTTGGATTATTTTTGGAAAATTCTTTTAAAAAAATAAAATTAACACTGCAAAACGTTTGTATAATATATCGTCAACTATCACAGAATTTTATTTCAAAAAGAACTAAACATTTCTACTTAAGACATCCACGTGACAGCTAACATAAGGATTGCAGTTGACTCAAAGGTAAGACTTTTAATTTATATTCAAATTAAGTCAATATTTATATTTAATTAGAAAAGAACTGATCGTTTCACCAACCTTTATCATTAGCAGGAATATACATTTTATTCAATACCAGAGGTCGTTTGCCGATCCATTCTTAATTATGCAAAAAACCCTTATAATACAGGTATGTATTAATCTATATTTATCATATACAGTGTGACATATATACAGCAGTATAAAAATACCACTTAGATGAAGCATATTATTTAGATAATATTGATTTTTAAAAGCATGTAATTTAGACAACATCTTAAAAAAAATCTTTTTGCAATATCTTGACATTAGCAGCCATAGCAATCTCATAAAGTAGTTCTTTTAGCTAGGATGAGGCATATTAATGTTTGGATAGCAGTAAAAAATGTAGACTTCATAATATTACTGTTAGGTACCTGCTCCTGAAGGAAGGCTGTTCAACATTTTGAGGTCTGGTGAATTTATTATTCATTTATAAGACTACAACTTCATGGACTTTTTCCCTTACCTCACTAGGTTTTCCATATTACTCAACAAACTTTTTCTATAAGAAACTTGGGTTGATCCAAAAAGTGGTTCTTTGGCTAGTCCAGTTTTCCATATTACTTTAATCTAAACCCACTGAACAATATTGGCTAAAACCCAGACAGATATTTTTGACAGTGGCCTGGATTGTGTCTATTTTGAGAGGAAGTAGGTGAGAAAGTGTCTAGACTGGAAGGACCCCAGGATCTTCCTGCTGGAGATGCTGGGAAATTATAATCCTGAAAATTATAGATCCTGATTATTATAAGGAGTATGAGATTTGTGAGTCTTACATTAGAGTGCTAAGTTTAATATAGGTTGATGTAGGTAGGCTAGCTAAGATCGATCTTTATTTTTTTCCTTTGCCATTTTCTTATTTGTTTTTTGTTTATCTTTGAATATTGAGTGGTTCTTTCTAAGTTGCTTCTAATCTCTTTTGGACTACGGAGAGTATAAAGACATAAAGCAGTAGATTTAATGACAACTTCTAGGTGTTTTAGGTAATATGTTACGGATGAATAGGCATTTTTGATTGCTTGTGTCTGTGTCAATGTTATGAATTTTTTTCAGTCACTCTTATGTTCATTTGTCCAAGATTTAAAGTCATTTGGAAATGCCCACTCAGTCTACATATGTTACTGAAGTGTGAGATAAAATACAACTGTAAATTTCAAATTGTATGTGATGAAAGAGGTGAGGGTGGGTTAGTCTGCTTTATTTCTTTTGGTGGCTTATAATGACAACATATTGAACATGAGAGATGTATTAAATACTGCAATTTAACATTCTTCTGCTACATTACCCACTTAGTTCAGCTGCAGAAAGTGCAAGAAAAGAGGCAGGATTTCAGAATTGACTGAATAGTTAGGAAGAAACAGAACTTGGCTTCTAAAATAAAGAAAAGTTCTCCCCCCCATGAAATTCCAGAAGATATCTTCATTTCATTGAATATATTAATATTCAGATGGCATTTGACTAGTTGCTTATGAAATAGAGTGTTGGTCTTAGGAGAAATTTTTAAGGGAAGTCAGGAAATCTATTCAAATCATTTAATTGAAGATAACGTTTAGAAGTCCAGGTTTTGCTTGAGGTATCCCTCTTCAGCAGAATGAGACCTGACAGCTACTGTGTTCGGTGCTGACTTAGGAACTGTGGGCCAGAATACCCTGCCCTATGGATTTTCACAATTAAGTCACTTAATTGCCATCCACCCTCTCTCTGCCCCCCAATTCTAGGGCACAAATTCTGAAATGGCAGAAATGTCTTTGTACTTCCATATTTTCTTTATTTACTATTTTAGGGAAATGTTCTTAAGGGATAGTATACAAATATGAACTGAGAAATACCATGCTTTTCAGCATTAAAAAAACAAAAACAAATTTCTTATCTATGGTTACGATGGGTCTAGCTCGTGTGGGTGATTCTAAAGGCTCTTTCCAACTTCAGGTGGTTCCCAGCTTCAAGTTTATAAGTAATGCATTCAGGGTACCAGCAGCAGGATCTCAAGGTGGAGCGATCACCAGATAGTTGAGGGACTCAGGCTAGCCTTGAGAAGATTGTTGATGTATTTCATTCTGCCTGTTTACACACTAATATCAGCTGCACTTTCAATTAGCTGAGACAGTCTGGGGATAAATTGTAAAATAAAATGGTAAAGTCAAGTGCCAAGAGACTTTTACAGACTCAGTGCTGTAGATAAAAACAGGATGTTTATTTTCTAATTTATTTCAGGGAGAAGAGAAATATTATAAGAAGGGAAAAAGAAAAAAAAAGAAGACAAAATCATATATTTTACAGTCTGACTGAAACAGTAAGTGTACTGTTATTTGACTTGTCAAGATTTGTGCCTGTCCTTGACAAAGAGGAAAGTTTTGTGTGTCTGTGTGTGTATCTGTGTGTTCACTTGCCTGTGGTGGTTTCATTGGGGGGTCTTTAAATGTCCATTTTTCTAGATTACTGACCTACAGATAGGAGTGTTTTCATCTGCCTTTTATTCTTTCTCTTACCCTGTCAGTATCTGCAATTTTGATCATCTATCTTCTTTCCCAAATACCCTTTTTTTTTGAGTTGGAGTCTTATTCTGTCACCCAGGCTGGAGTGCAGTGGAATGTGCACAGCCACCACAGCCTCAACCCGCTGAGCTCAGGTGATCCTTTTGCCTCAGACTTCCAAGTAACCTGGCTAATTTTTTTTTTAATTGTAGAGATGAAGTCTCGCCCAGTTGCCCAGGCTGGTCTCAAACCCGTGCTCAGGCAATTCTCTTACCTCGGCCTCCCAAAGTGCTGGGATTATGGGCGTGAACCACCGTGCACGGCCAAATACCCTTTTTTGCTACCATTTTAAATTCAGCATACCCATTCATAAGTAATGTTTGCTTGTTTTACAAGAAAAGTTAAGACTGATGCCTCTTTTATTTAACATTATAGAAAATAACCTCTCTACAATATGATATTAAAATGTAATTATTTTTAGCTCTGGGGATACAGCTACATAATTTTTCCCTGACTTCTTAGGGTGTGAAATAAATTATATGCCCATTAATAAGCTTACATGGATACTGCTGATTTAGTTCCCTGAGATTGTGTGAGTTAGCTTCAAAAATATTAGATTATTGGAACTCAACATTGCCTAATAATTGAATAGCAGTGTCTTTGGACTATTAAAAGATTTGATTCAAAATTGGGTTGAGTGCAAGGGTGAGCATGAGGATAGGGGCAATTATCTAGGGATTTGGTCTCTGTTTGTAATTTAAATAAATCATTTTGACAGAGACTGACTGTAACCATGTTCAGGCTGCTGACGGTGTGAAATTGAGTTGTTTGGTGGACAGAAGACAAGCAGTCAAGAGAAATCCCCAAAGGCAAAATTTGTTATGTAATTGGGTTAACTCATGCATGAGAAATGCATGCTAATTGTAAACTGGTGGCAAAATTATCGTGTATGAGGCAATTAGGTCTTATATGAATCTGAACAACTGACATCGAAGAATTTTTTTTCAATCTTTTTATGTTCAGCAAACATAAAAAAGTTTTTTCTAAAGTGAGAAAGGTAAAAATTAGAAAGTCACTCAATATTGAAATAATTTGTTAGTTTTGTTCTTATGCAAGAAGCATAACTTTGATAACAAATGAAAAATGTATGTAAAAGCTTCTGCTTTAGAGTGGTAAAGTATAGTGCACTAAGTAATTTGAAAGGAGAATGGGATGGTGTTTTTGTTGTGTTTCAGAACTAGGTTGATTAACATAGATGATTCGTTATGAGGTCAATG